TTTATATAATTTTTATAAATTATTAAATAAATAAATATACTTAATATTATAAATTTTAAATAATATGTAAATCATTTTCCTATTCAGTCATTTATAAATAATTTTAATAATTTAAACTTGTTAGATTGTAAGAACGGTTTGTATTAAAAGATTATTCTTAGTTCAATAATTCTTATTTTGCGGGGAACCAGAAAAGAGACTCTTATAAAATTCGATTGTGTGAATCATTTTTCGAGATAAGATGGATAAAGATTGGAATGATAAAGCATTTATCATTTTGCAGGGGTTACTGCTTCCGTCTTTCTTTGCATCGCATTGCATTTGCATTTGCATAACAGAAGGTAGAGTAGAGGAGATTGCGATGTTCTAGAAGATTGAGGAGGATATTGTCCGGCGGCCAGCTGGTGGGGGCTGTACAGAAAAAAGGAAGGACCCACAGCTGCAAGCAATGTTGTATGGCAGCCGGCGTTGCTCTCCATGCCTGCCTGCCCTGCAACTGCAACTGCAACTGCAACTGCAATTGCAACCACCCAGAAGTGGAAGGCCAGCACAGTCCCACGTGGGCCATTCTATCTTTGTCACATCTTTATCTCAAGTCTGACTTTTGGCCGCTGGGATTTTCTCAGTGCTGTGCTGCAGAAGGCAGGCAGGGTTATGGCGGCCCGATCAGAATATTAAAGATTATAAAAAAAAAATTGTAAAAAATTATTATTTTTAAAATGATTGATTTTATTTAATTTAATCGATAAAAATAATTAATAATTAATAATTAATAATTATAAATTAATAATTAATAAAATAATTAATATACTCGATAAAAATAATTAATAATTAATAATTAATAATTATAAATTAATAATTAATAAAATAATTAATATACTTTCCGCACAGATGGACCCAGTGGATTTCCACCTGGCTTTAGTGGGAACATACTCTCGAGTTGGAAGTTCGAACTCCCATGAGATCCTCCTTCCCCATCCCTCCTTAGTATGCTAGGTTCAATTGTAATTTGTTAAAAAAAAAATTAATATACTTATATTTTTAGATATTATTTTAAAAAATTATAAATTAATAATTTTAACAATTTTTTATTGTAACAATAACTACACCCCTGTGCTGGCCCGCGATCTCTTGCACCAGCTAGGGCCGGATGAATGACAAAAGATTGGGCTGCCCATGGTGGTGCCTGGAACTTCGTCTGACCGTCTGACTGTATGGGAGAGGTTCATGGATTTTGGACAACTCTCTGCATCTGGGCCTTATGAAAATAAACGGACAACTCCTTCCTTTTGGATTTGGCCCTTTATTGGTTAGAATAAGAATAAGAATTTTGGCAAAATCCTGTGTTTAGCGCCTGAACTTATGTCAAATTCTGGATTAAACTCTAAACTTTTATTAAAGTAAATAAACCCATAAATTTAGCGATCTTGGCAATTTAAGCCCCCTTCTTTACAGTGAACTTAATGTCTATTTGTGTATTGCCTATGTAGATAAGGTATTAATATGTCATTACCTACATGATAGTTATTGATTTTATCCACACAAGTACAAATAAATATTAAGTCTGCTATAAGGATGAGGATTAAATTACCTTAGTTGACAAATTTAGGGGCTTATTTACTTTTGTAAAAGTTTAGGGACTTAATTGAGAATCTATAACTAGTTTGAGAGTTTAATATAAGGTCTTACCTAGAATTTCTTACATTAAAATATTTAAGAAAGAATAAAAGTTATGACGTTTTGATATTTTAAATGCCATAACTTTCTAGTAAATTATTTAAATAAATTTAATAAATATTTTTTATATGTTAATTCATTAAATATATTTTAATTTTTTTATTATAATTCTTGATATTTTAATTATCAAGACGTCTTAATTTTTTTAATATTAAAATATTTAATAAAATAATTTTTTTAGATACATTTAATGATGGGTTATATAAGAGGAGTATCCCTCTCATTTTTTAAAATTTTTTCTCATCTAACTCACGATTTAAATCTAAAATCTCTAATTTAAAATTTTAAACTCTTAATTAGTTAAGTTAATCCTGAAAAATAATATTTTATAAAATAATTAAGGGGTTGATAAAAAATTGTTTTCTTATACATCTCCAATCAATTCTGGTCTAATGATATTGGTTCCATTATTAACGTGGCTTTTGTTGACAGATTCGGTAGAAACAGCCTATGCTTCATCCCCAAATCCATCATTATGCAACTGCAACTGTATGTGTTGCTTAATTGCCGAATGAGGCTTTCTATGTGCTACCGCTGGATGACGGAGACGCAAAGTATAAGGACCTTTTTGCAGTCATTCCTTGATCTGATATAGTAATTCTACCAAGTGGATCCATTTTTTAACAGAGGTCACATGATCTTGGTATTGTTTTGATCAGTGTCATCCTGGAGCCTGCTTGGCTTTAAGCTTGTGGTCTAAGAGACTCGTGCCAGAGTGCACAACCTCATACCCGGTACAGGGATGTGCCCAAGCAAGTTTGGTTGTTTAGCTATTCTCCTGCCAGCTTACATCCTTTCATACTCACACTGGATGGGTCCAGTGCCATGGATCATGAACTCAGCGGTTTACATTTACATAATGCGTTAAAGCTCTTGTTCCACCGGCACATTGCTTTTGCTCACCGGGTTTTGGCGATTAGACTCGTTTTCATCTTTCTCCAAGTACCGGAAACCAAAGTGGTGCCAACTAGACTAAGTCTCAGGGCGAAGCAAAATTCAGTACGCCTAAGTAGATCAGAATTGAGAAATTGTAACTCAACTGAAACTACATGAAGGACCAGTTTTAAGATTTTGCATGAAAATTGTTTCCATACCAACACTACTTTTTATTTATTTCCTTTTTATTTGTTGTTTATACATACCTAGAGACAATCCTTTCCTAGGTTGTCAAAATCACGTTTTACATCTTAAAATCGTAAGATTTTACGATTCTATGTATGCATTTCGTGTAAAATCGATATTAAAATTGGAATTCCATGAAATGGGATATAAAATCGTAAAATCACGATTTTTTTGTTAAATCGTTTGAAATCTCGATTTTACAGGGGAGGGAGAGATTTTGGACTGCTGCAGTGCCGCTGCTCACTGTTGCTGCTCACTGCCACTGTTCACAGCTCAGGCAAAGAATTCCTCCTTTCTCAGACTCCCCTTATTTGGTGATGATCGGTGTTGGTGATGGTGATGATCGGAGATGAGGAACTGTTGTGGAATCCGAAGATGAAGAAAGAAGAAGGACGTACAGTCTAAGGGTGTGCACTGTGCGGCCATTGGCTACCCAAAACTTTCAGATCTGAGATTGGTCTTTTTTTTTTTTTTTTTTTTTTTGGTTCTGTGGTGATCGATGATGATGATATCGGAGAAAGATGGAGAAGCCATAGATGGAGGTGATAGGAAGGTCTGTTATGAGGTGGAGAAAGATTTATTGGAGATGGAGATCGAAGGAGGTCATGGTTGAAATTGAGAGTCCAGAAGGGAGAAGGATCGAGACGAGAGGTGTCTTTTTTTGTCTGTCGTCCCCTCTTTCTTTTGTTTGTCTGTTCCCTTTACTTTAAAAGAGAAAGGAAACTAGGGTTTTATTATTGGTTTAGGCTGAGCCTGGGTTGGGCCTTGATTAAAGGATTATGGGCTGCTTGAGATAAGTTTGAAGTGTAAACGGGTTAAATTTCAAGACTTTTACATAATTTTTGTAATTTAATCTCGAACTTTGATCTCCTTCAATTGACTCCTTTTTTGAGTTTCTTTTTCAATTTCTTCTTGAGTTTTGTTTTTTCGCATGTATC